GCTGCAATCAACGAGATGAAACAAGATGCGAGTTGCCGAATGGAAAACTGATGGGCTCCTTAAGCCTTCACCTAATTTACAATAATATGTTCAGAACTAAAAAAAAAACAAACCACACACCCCCAAATAATAATATAAAGATAAAAATACAAATAATGAGTAAAAGAAAGGACTGCCATCAATATTTAAGAAGCTAGGGGAGAAATTTTTGTCATGCAGCAAGCAAGAAATACTTGAGCCTAGAACAAATTCAGGTTGGGTCAAGAGAGAGGTTAACTGAGCAAGTATCAAGTTCGATCCAGCTCAGTCAAGTCAAGTCCAATCATCTCTGAGAGTAAAGCTGTTCAGGCCCCTGGCCTGTAGCCAGAGGGCACCTGCCAGCGGCTTCATCTGATGAGATGCTCTGCACAAGGGTTTGGGGCTCCCACTGTCCTCCATTGCCTTCTACAAATCGGATGTTCACAATTTAAGCTCCGATACTTTTCTCTTCGTCACATTCGAGTTTTGTAATTGTCATCTTTGGATCCCACAGGCTGGTGTGCTTCTTCTACATGGACTTAGTTGACTCTTCACTTAGATGGCTGCTTGTTTGTGTACACGCCTTTAAGATCCCAGACACTACTCCCATTGATAGCCAGGCACCATCTGCTTTCTTCACCACACTTCTGTAGCACCCTGATCTTCAGTGGTCATTTCGTGAAGGTGAGTAGAGCAGGCCCATGTGACCAGAACGACTTCTTCTTGGATTGGGGCCAGAGTTAAGTGGGAGCCCAGAATCCGTGGGTTATATGCATGACCCTGGTTTACTTTGGCATCCTCTTATGACGGAAACAAAACACCACGAGACCAACTCCAATGACAGCCACAGCAAACCAACCAGCAACCAAGCAAACACGAAGAAGAACAAACAAAAAGCCATAGAAACAAAAAAGAAGCACAGTCAGTCATCCCCCCGGGGCATAAGGTGATGAGACCATCAACAGTGCTTCTGATGACACCGCGTTCCACACACGTCTTTTGACCGAGCGTTCGCCTGTCCTGAGGTTGCAACAGCAAGTCATATGTCCTAGAAGAAGCTCTGCCATTTGGCTTTTAAGTTTGGACAGCCAGTCCTGAAAGAGGTGTATGGTGTGAGGTAGGGCTGGAACCCCTTCCTGAACCCTAAGTTGGTTCAGTTGTCCCAGCACCTTGTGCTTCTAACACTGGCCTCTCCCTGTCATGGTGCCTCTGTTGCCCGCCAGCTGTCCAGCAGTATGGTCTGGACTGCTGCCCTTGCTGTCCACTCGGCCATTCCCTGCTGTTGTTTGCGCCACATGTGTTGTGAGGAAGGCGACTTCGGGCATCTCCCCACCAGGTACAGTGCCCGGGAGGGGATGTCAGGCACCGTGGGCGTTCTTGCCAGCTCAGCCACAGTCCTGTAGAGCAGCGGGTCTGGGATGTCTGCCAGAGTGGGGGGACGACTAGGAGAGTGGACTTGAGCCTCTGATAGCAGGAGCAACGGCACCCCCTGCAGCCTGGGAGGGGCAGTGGCAGGGTGAGGGACCACAGAGGATGCACTGGGCCTGGTCCACCAGTCCCCTAGGTTATCTGTGAGTTCAGGGTCTGAGGGAGGGGTGGTTGTGTGGAAGAGGGGCAGGGGTACAGGTGAGACCCCAGGTGCAGAGAAGCTGGGTGGACTGGAGGTGGGAGGGGGCACAGAGCCTTCAGAAGGAGGTCAGATTTCTCTCCCCGAAGCCCCTCCCCATGACCATGACCTGCTTCCTTGGCCCCCAGGGAGGGATGATGGCACTGTTCATCTCGCCAGTGAGGCCGATATCCTGGGATTCTGATACTATCTGGGACCCCAGCCCACCTACAGACTTGGCCTCCTCTCTCTGGGGTAAGGGCAGGGGCAGGGAGTGTGTGCCCTGGGGCTCGTGGTGGGGGGTGGGGGTGAGGTATCTGAGGTATTACCAGAAGCTGCTGGGACCCAGCTAAGTCATAGGTAAACTGAGGCCTGCCCTCCTCTCCCAAGCTCTGAGACCTGTGGGCTGTCTGGGGCCTTTCCCAAGGAATGGGCCGGGTGGAGGGTGAGG